CGAAGACATGGGGACACGCATGTCCATGCTGGAGCAGAAAAGTGCTGAGGATGGGACACGGATTAAGGGCCTTGAAGAGCAAGTGTGTGCCATGCAGAAGAAGCTGGAAGCATTGCTGACAGGAGAGCGGTCTTTGCCAGCACCAGTTCAAGAGAATCCTCCAAATGACCCCTGGGCTGGATATAAGAGAGTTCCTCCGCCACAATCTTTGCAATCACCTTCTGGCTTTTTACGTGACACAACAGACTTTAATCACCTTGTGCTTGGTGGTTGGAACCGCGACACCAAGCGACAGCTGATTGAGTCGGAGCTTGACGCATTTCTTCAGCAGCACAGTATCCCGGACCTCAATCGCTCTGNNCCCGAACAAGGTGCTAAGGAAAGGTTCTTTACTCTCCTGCCTCAGCTCAACAAGAAGTTCAAACTCTCGTCCGGTAGTCTGTTGTGGATCAGTCCCAGCAAGCCCCTGGAGGTTCGAATGCGTAACAAAGTCTTGGGTGTCGCCATCCAACGTTTGTTGCGCATTTTCCGGATGGACATTAATGCTGGGGAGGTTGAGATTGATTGGTACCAGGGTGTTGTGTGGATTGGGGATAGGCGCATGCTTGCGTTGAATGACAAGGGGCTTTTCTCGAGGCCTGACGAGAGATGCGTGGAAACCAGGATTACAGTTGACGGATTTGAACGCACGGTCCATTTCAATTTGGCCGCCATGCACTCCATGATCAGCATTCCCATTCCGGATCTTGAGGCCGCAGTGCATTCTGACTGAAAGGAGACTGCTAGGTTCGCTGAGACTGTTTTGGACACCTCTATCATGGAAGTACAAACTTGGAACCTTCAAGGAAGGAGCTTGGATAATCTCAATCAATGGCTTGAGGTGCCCAGAACTGAAACTATGGACATTGTGGTTCTTCAGGAGGTTGGGGGAATTCATCGTTTTGATACTTTGCAGCAGATTCCAGGCGGGACTCTCAAGGAGTTGTTACTGCCTGAAGACTCAGAGCTCAGCCACTATCACGTTATAGGTGCTGTGGATGTTGAATCACATCTCTCACAGGTGATGCTACTGGATAAGGATGTCTGTGATTGTGTTCATTGGGCATGCTCTGGAAAGCGGATTGTAGAGCTGTGCTTCAGACACGTGACGCTGAATTGTGATATTTTGCTGGTTGGCGTCCACTTCCCTCACAAAAATGATCCTGATGAGGTCTTTCAAGAAGCCCTCTGGGAGCTAGAGCATGTGTTGGGCAAGTCTCGCCGCTTTCATCTTGTATGTGTCGCCGGAGATTGGAATACCCAAGCTGGGGATGCTAGACATAATGAGCTCCTTGCTCTAACGACCTATTATGGATATCTGCACATGGTTCCTGAACGAGATACATGGTACAGATTTGGTGCCAGCAGATGCTATGACTATTTCTTTTTCAAAGACACAAACGTTTTTCACATAATTCCTGAAAGTGCCAATGTTGACTGCAATCTGGATGCCATGCATGAGATCAAGACTGATCATGCTCTTGTGACTTCCTCCTTCCAAGTTTTTGCTTCTGTTAGTAAGGATCCTCTCAATAAGCGTAAAAAGGGGTGTTTCAAAAGATGTTTCCGATGGCGCATCGACGCGCAGATTGACGAGGTTCTGCCACATATTTGGGATCCTCATATACGAGTGGATGCAACGTCACAGTGGCAGACTTTGAGGGCTCTTTCTAACGCAGTGTCTACAAGAAAGGTGGGGCTTCGATATGTGGATCCTCCATTCGTCAAAGATCTTTGTAAGCAGCGTCGTGAGGTCACCGATTCTGCCCAACGTGCTTGGATAGTTCGGGCGATTTTTGCATGTCGCACTGCGGCCAAACGAGAGTGGTGGAAGCAGCTGGAGAACGCGGCAGGGAACGGTGACAGTGAAGCTATCTGTTACCTACGCCGGAGACAGCGCAAACCAGCTTCCACCACAGCCTTTGCGCGGGATAGTGGAGGTCGCAGCAAAGCTGCAGAACGCATTCGTGCTCATACCTTGGAGGTCTTCTGCAAACCTGTTACTGATACTGGCAAAGATGAAATTGAGTGCATGCAGCTACAGCTTTGGGACAGTTCGGCCAATCAGCTTCGGGTGCCCTTCGGGGAGGATGAAATCAAACAGTTTGTGATGGATAGGGTGCGCCGCAATAAGACCTCAGGCATGAGTGGAATCAGCGCAGAGCTTCTTCACGCAATGGTGCACAGCTGTTGTGGTTTGGAATTTCTCGCAGTTCATTGCAACACCATCCTGGAAACCAAACAGGTGCCCCAGGCATATCTTCAAGCGTTTGTATGCCTAGTGCCCAAGGAAGTGGTGATCACAGTTCCCAAGCAGTATAGGCCGCTCTGCTTGCTTGAAGCCGTGCACAAGTTGCTCAGTGGAATGTTGTACCAAAGATTGATCACGCAGTGGGAGAAGCCAACATGCCAGCTGGGGGCACTGCCAGGGAGTCAGGCTGTGGAATGCCTCTGGATGGCACAAACTTTTCTGTACAAGGAATACAAAACTGGCACCCCCTCGCTGTGGGTTCTTCTGGACATTAAACAAGCCTTTGATAATCTCAATCGTAAAGCCGTCCTTGATCTGCTCCTCTGTAAGACGCCAGAGGCATTCCATCATGAGGCCCTCTTGTTATGGAAGTTGCTGCAATGCGATTTACACTTTTGTTGGGACTCAGAAGAATGGTCTCTGTCTGCTACAACGGGTGTGCAACAAGGGGCTCCGCCGAGTGCTGGCATTTTCTCCTTGATCATCGGCAATGTGCTTCAGGAACTCTTTCACTCTTGGGCTGCGAGAGGGATAACATTTCAGCACAAGTTCTACTCTGGGGATCCTGTTTTTGGTTGGGCCTATGTCGATGACGTTATTATTGATATGCAGGATTGGGAGAGCTTGCGTGCTTGCTTTACGGAGTTGATTGAGGGGCTCGCTCTTGTGGGCTTGCAGGTTAATTTCGACAAAACGGTTATTGTAGTTCCTGAGCACCTCTGGGCTGATGCAAACAGATTTGCGTCGCGTGAACCAGAACATCCTCTGTGCAAGTGCAAGTGGCAGTCGGAAGGTCAATACTTGAGAAAGCCTTTCAAACCCTTCCTCCCTGCTACTTCGTTGTCGCAATGGGTTGTGCAAAGCTCTACAAAGCAAGCGCACTCAGGGTGGCATGAGCTTAGCCCTATTCTCCGGCAGTGTCGGTGGCACCAGGGCACGCTTCCTTTTGTTCTCATCAATAGGTACATCTTTGCCAAATTCTCGTGGTTCATTATGATGATGGAACCATTGACAGAGTGGACACGAGCAATAGACAATCTGCAGTGTACCCTTTCGTGTTTGGCGTTGCAGTTGTTTGTGCCAGGGAATATGAAGGAAGCACCTGCAATGGCTCTGCATAGGCTTCGGAGACGGTTCGTGCACATCTTCTTGCAATTGCATCCTCACCTCAGATGGGTGTTTTCAGCTATGAAAAGACGTTGGCACTACTTGGGACACCTTCTGAGGAGACAGCCTCAGGCAATGCAGTTGTCAATCATTCATGCTTCGATGCCTCAAGAGGTCACACAAGCTGTGCCTGCCCCATGGAACAGTGCGTATTCCTGGATAGTAGGGCAAATGCAACGTTTGACATGGGTTGAGACAGGGAACAGCAAGCCAAGCCTTCAGCAATTACGTGACTGTGCTAGTGATAGAGATGCTTGGGCTGCGCAGTGGGAGAAGCTTAATGACCAGTACTGCATTGCTGTGCAGCTGCANNCACCCGTTCAACTGGAGCAGGGTGCGGGAAGCTTTCCAAACAGTTGTTGCGTGGAAGCTGTCTGTGGCCGTTTTCTCTTCAGATGACGCATGGTGGCTGACGTGGTTGAACAATACAGAAGGGGCTTGTTGTTTGCAGCTTTCTGAGGACTTCTTGAGTACATTGACTTACGTTCGGATGGGGCACCCTGACGTTTGGGGTTTGGATGTTCTTGTGCCCTTCGAGTTCTTCTACATCCATCTTTGTAATGTTGAAACTTGGAAACGTGAGGCCTGGAGACAGCTTCAGCTTGTTATGTCGGTTTCGTGTTACGAGACTGCCGATGAGGGGTGGATAGTCCGATTTGCCGGGCGTGCGTAGTGTGTGCCTACGGCAGTTCCCAGCTTACCGTGGACCAGAGTCTGGGTTG